ATGGCTGGCTGGGGAATTCTGGGAGTTGAAGTCCACATATCTTAAAGTTCCCAAGGTTGAGGAACACTGCTTTAGGGTATTATATATTATAGGGGATAGCTATTTTTTCCCCCCATGACATTCCCCCCAAATGGAAGCCATTTAACATCAAAGACAGTGTATGCAATCACATGTTAAAGAAGAATATCTTGTTTTCAGGGACCACCTGGACTAGAAGGCAAGGTGGGACCTCCGGGTCTACAAGGTCTACGGGTGAGCAACCTTTCTTGTTTTTGGATGCCTCCATTCCTTTCCAGTAGATTCTCTGATGTATTTGAGAAGATAAAATGCTACCCATATTTCTCCTTTTTCTTGCTTCCAGCCTAGAAAATTATGTTAAACATCACTTACTTCTTCCTGTGTTAACCTAGTGTGGCTATGTCATTTTAGACCTGGATGGAATAGCTTTGCAAAGAAGATACAGGTTTCCAATAAGAAACAGGTCATCTTGCTCCTCTCTCTTGCCTATTGCATCCATCATTTATAATAACTTCTCTGTTCCTGAGATGTAACAGCAAATCCCAAATGATGGTTGCCAATCCAGATAGAATTCAGAGACTGTGTTCTTGCATTTATGTTCTGCCTCAGGGCTTGCTGTGGGCACCTTGCTGATCAATACAGAAACAGAATGGTGGGCGATGTTAGACTTTAGAATGACCCAACATGGCAAATTGTCATGTGAGCATCCTTAGGGATATAGCAGTAAAATGAAAGGTGTGTTTGCTGCCATGCTGACAAATGTGTGTGTGTGTGTTTATAATATGCAGAGGTGGAATATACTGTAGATAGACGCAGCATGCAGACAGATCATCCCCATAAAACTTATTTTAAGAATAAACAAAATAAGTAATAGAGCATAGCCTAATAAGAAATCTCATGGTGCTCCCCTTGATAGATTTCTGGACGTTTTTGAATAGTTACATTGTCGGAAAACCTTCAGCCAGGTTTTAAAAGAGTTATAGGCATGTTCATGGAGGATTAAGCTACTAGTGAGTAGTAATTTTCATGAGTGCTTACTACCTTTTAAATCCTAGGCAATATGCCTTCAGTACTGGATTTTGGGAAGTGAAGACATCCAATAGATGTCACTGTATCTTAAAATGATGTAAGGTGCATGATGGTGTCATCATGCAAATAATACAAGTACATAACTCATAGCTTTTGCATCAAGACACTATCATGCACACGGTGTTGCTCCTCCTTGCCTCTGCCACAGATATACTGATTTTGGGGGACCATAGAAGGAGTCTATCACCTTCTAGGTTGGACTTGTGAACCTCCCCAATATATTCATCTAGCTACTGTAGGGCACAGAAACGTGCAGTAGACAGGCCTATCGTTGATGATTTAAATTCAGTAGGAGACTCTTTGGAAAAGACCCTGATGCTGGGAAATATTGAAGGCCAAAGGAGAAGGGGACGGCAGAGGATGAGATGGTTAGATAGCATCACTGAAG